ACCACTAAAAGTTTGCATATCATGTCACCCAGAACACACAACAAAGTTTGCATATCATGTCAACCAGAATGCACGACTAAGTTTGCATATCATGTCACCCAGAATGCACGACTAAGTTTGCATATCATGTCACCCAGAATGCACGACTAAGTTTGCATATAATGTAAACCAGAACACACAACTAAGTTGGCATATCGTGTCAACTAGAATACACGACTAAGTTTGCATATCGTGTCAACCAGAATGTACGACTAAGTTTGCATATCGTGTCAACTAGAATACACGACTAAGTTTGCATATCGTGTCAACCAGAATACACGAACGACTAAGTTTGCATATCATGTCAACCAGAATACACGAACATTATCTTGCAAAATAAGGATAAATGAGCTATTTGGTTTTCCTCAATGCAAGCTGCTTTCGATGACTCTTATTTCTGGTTCTGAACCTCGGTTTGCCATTAAGTTAGATGAATAAATTTTTAATAACCATTGTGTTGTCACTTGCTTATCGTTCTTTGTTTTAAAAGTACAACTCCCACACAATGTATAACCTTACTCCCAAATTTGAAAAGGTGAAAGTCGGAAACTCGATATATTTCTATACATAGTTCATCCTTGACCTTGTATCTTAAAATGTACAACTGACAATCCCAAACCCAACCCAAATTTTATGTTCCTACACAGATGAGCATTGTTCACATGGCCTATGTTTGAATGATTAACAACTGATACTGTTGACCTATCAGAAGGAAGAACAGGATTTTTTAAAAGTTAAGAGTTCAGCTTTACAGCCATCTTGACGTCAGCATGTATTTTATTATGAATGTAAAATACCTGCATTTATCTCCACGCGTCTGTGAAAAGAGGATATTGTTGCAGTGGGTCAGTTAGTCCATCTGTTCGTACGTCAGTGACGAAGCCAGTCATCGCGCTTCTCCCACACCGCTGGTTATGTGGTTGGTGCATATGCGAAATAATGTTATAATGCCCTACTTTTGTCATCTGTCTCAATTTAGTACGGAAATCTGAAATATTTTGTCAAAGCTTGGGGGCAGAGGTTATCTAGCTCATTTTCGCAGAAATTTCTTGAAAATGTAAAAAGGGACATTGAGAATGTAGTTCATTCTTTCCATACATTGGATGAGGAATTTTGTCCAGTAAGAACAATTTTTACATCTCATCCTTATTTGGGGAAATTTTGCAAACATTTCAAAAGGGAGATGTTTGTGAATTTAGTATAATATCGCGTCTACTCCCTTATCGATTGGAGTATTATACTGTAATTTTGCTGGCTAGACATGTCTATGGTATATATATATATATATATGTACAATACACTATTTGGGAGGGTTTTAGTTATCATCGCTTCTCTTCATATACTGATTATATGATTTTATTTAATTTTTAGACTGGATAGGGGGTTGGAGTATATACGTAATAGAATTTGACTTTACTTGGTTCATTTAAAGAACATTAGTAGTCAAAAAATGGGGTATTTGGGAATTAGCTCGTCGTCGCCTCTTCTCCCAATCAATGTAGATGACGATTTAAATGAAACTTCATCTGTCTCCCACGTTTTCTCTCTCCTGTCACTGTGTCCAGTATGATTGTCTTTCACAGGCCCGATGAGTGAAACATGAATATACCATATTTCTTTGCTTTTCGTACAGTGCTTACCAAATCTACATGTGATCCAATGGCACTTTAAGTTCCAGTGTTCACCTCTTAATCAGAATCATGGTCTAAGTATGATATGTTCAGGATCATTCGATATCATGGTCTAAGTATGATATGTTCAGGGTCATTCGATATCATGGTTTAAGTATGAGATGTTCAGGATCATTCGATAACATCTCGTCTCTAAAGTATGGATTCTTTTCCATAGATCTGCTGTCAGGGTCTATGTCTCACATCCATACTGGAATATAGGTATGACGAGGGAGTGTATAAACTTGATCTTGGATAGAGGTTTTGAAGCTTGTCACAGTACCCAGCTTCTCCATTCTTATTTCTTTTGGATGCCTCTGGGTTTTTTTTATCAGCTTGGTCTTTTCAATGCTGATCTTCATCCCATACCTTAGTGATGTTTGCTTGAGACGGTTCACAAAAGGTTTCCAGTTCTTGTTCATCTCCTGCTAAGCCATCGACACCATCAATGAAGCGCATGTTGGTGATTTTTCTGCCTCCAGCATTGACACTGACCTTGTAATCTTTCAAGCCGTCGGACACGATGCTTTCCAGGTAGATGTTGATGAGAGTTTGCGAGAGGATACGCCGCTGTCTCTGATCGAGGTTCAGAACCAATCTCCTCTATTGTTATTGACGAGAATGGCGCCAGTCACCTTGTCATACAGGTTTTCTATGGTGCTGATTAGTTTTACCTTTATGTTTTACATAGCACAGAACTGCCAGCACAGAGAACTGCCTTCTACGAGTGGAGAAAGCTCGTATCACGCGGACAAAATGCTTTATTTTCCAAAAGAATTATCAAAAACTACGATGCTTACGAACGGGTAACAAACAACTTATTTGCTGTGGCCTAATTTGGGAAAGGTGTAAAAGTCAAAGATATTATATTATGAAAATAAATCGCTCTTTGTCATTGAATTTCATCCGGCACATTTGCTCCAGAGTAATGCTAGAATATTACTGTCAATGAAAACTGGAAATGTACTATCATTAAGAACTGTTATATACAATATAAAGTGATATCATTACATAAAAGGTATTATCACGACATCTTAAAAAACGTTTCTGGATAAAAAACAAAAAACATTTTGTCCCGTTTGTCTTTCACTAGTATCCTAATATGTTGCTTTGATGTTTCATCCAAAATCAGTTACCCGTTATAGCAACAAATTACAAAAACACTAAGAAACGCGTGCACACCATTATATTTGTGCATGTATATGTGCGTGTGTGTATATGCCTCTCTGCCTGTGTGTGTACCCAAATACAAACTTCAATTTAAACCAGTTTTGATTTTTATTTATGTCCGCAAAACCGCATTATTACTCGTACTTTTCAATAACTACTTTTAAATTTATTATTCTTCTTGTAAGGAAAGAGTAAAATAAATTATGACATTATCGAAGAATAAATTAGATTCTTGAAATGGGATGATTTTGCTATAATGATCGAATGACATCACAGAATTGTACAGGTACAACCGTCCTTAAACATTCAGTTTCTCGACCGTTACTTTTCATTGAAAGAACATTTTCCAGATGTAGAATCATGGGTAGTTTTGTTTTTGAATTTTTAAATATTGTGTTTCAATATCATTTTTTCAGAAGACCATATTCTACTGAATGTGCTTATAAACAAGAGACATCAAATTTATGAAAAAGAAAATACATTTCTGAATCTTTGCATAATATAATTATGCCCAATATCGTAAATCATGAATATAAATACGGCCTACCAACTGTATATGGATCATCACAATTCCAATGTGAAATATGACCTTCGAAAGAAATAAGGCTTGTTCAGGCGGCAAAGAAAGCCTGGTCTCCTTGCTGTAGAAATCAAGTTGTGCCAAAAGATTGTCTAGAACACATGACTTCTTTACATGGCATAACAAGCACGATATAACTTGCTGTGTAAATCAAGTTGAAACGTGTAATAACCTAGTATCCACGGATTGCACACGGTAAAAGCAAGCAAGTTGATGTATAATGTACCTTGTGTATGATGCTAGTAATGGATATTAAAACCCTTCTGGAAGTTGTATTGTTTCGTAAACACGATACAGAAAATTTGAAAGACATGTAATTTGATTATGATTTTTAACGTAGCTTTAACAATTTTTCAGTCATATCGCTACGATGTCTGCAGTGTGTCAGTTTATAGTGATGTCTAGCACTGAGACATCATGACGCAAACATGTAGCATGATCCTGTCACCCGGCCGACCAGTCCTAACACTTGTTACGAATCGACTCGTTCTGTGTAACAAAAAGAAAAAGTGCACACAACAAGCTTTATGAATTTAATAATGATACAACTTATTTACTAAATCACAAAATAATGTAAATTTAAATTAGACTTACGGTTTTAGAGAAACTGGTACAAATTTTGTTCAATAATTATAAAGTCCTGAAAAAAGTTCTAAACACAGACTAAAATATGATGTTCTGGTCCAAGATGGTGGCTGTCCGCAATTTCCAGAATATTCACAAAAACAATGTACGTGTTGTCCCGTTCCAAAATTAGCAAGAAAACTCGCTAGGAAAGTGATAAAGTAGTGAATAGTTCCTCTAACACGGGATGTGTTAATTTTACGTAGATATAATAACGAATTCTTCTGGTTTTACGTAGATATAATACATTCTTCTGGCACAACAAAATAAAAGTTGTATGACTCGACTCAACTACGACAGTCTGTCCGTGACTGACTCTCGAACAGGACAGTTTGTATGTGACTGTGCATGAATCGCAAAAACTCAAAGCATATATGGGAATGCTAAAGCGTAGCCTGAACTGCACTCACATGAGGAAGCATACAATTTCCCAATACTTCTGAACAATGAATTTTCGTCATCATAAACAGCACGTGCCAACATGAACTACATCTACGACTCAAGTAAACTTATAAAAAAACATGTTAGACGATATAATGAAATACAAAATAAAAAGATTTATACAAAATTGTTTTTTTAACGCACTTGAACTCCAGGGTCGTAACACACTAACCTCTTAATGCTGAACGTCAAGCGAGGAAGCTGTTAGTACCATTTTTGTAGGGGCCTCAAGTGGCCGAGTGGTCTAAAGCGCTGTCCGTTACGGATCACTGCCATCTCACCTCTGTCTACATGGGTTCGAGTCTAGGATTCGGCTAATGTGGATATGTGAGAAAACTTGCCAGTAGCTTCTGGTGGGTTGGTGGTCTTTCCGGTGATTTCCCTGTTTCTTCCTCCACCATTACTACTGGCCGCCATGAATAGCCTATCGTGTGCTGAAAATGGCGTTAAGCCCAACAACAACAACCATTTTTGTAAGTCTTTGCTATGATTCGACCGGGGATAGAACATACGATCTCCGCATCCGAGGCGGACGCTCTAACCATTAGGCCACCGGCGAGGTTACCTTATAGACATTGCTGTTTAAATTAATTTGTACTTTGTATTGCGCAAATTCGAGGTAAGATAAACCTCATGTAACTCGTATATTAGGCATTACAACAAGGCAGATATAGAAACATAGAACATGAAAGGAAATATACATGCAGGTAAACCCAGTACAATTTGATAATTTATTCTCAGCAATTCCGTTCACTCTTTTTTTTTTTCAGGGTGGTTGGGAGAGGGTTACTAAGTGACTCAAATAAACAATAAACTCATTTTAAGATTTAACTGGGGCAGCCCAATAATAACATCAATTGCAATATGGCTCCAATGTATGGCTCTGGGCACGTGACAGGTTGATCAGTTTATAGTCATTTTCAATTTTCGAATCAACATTATATATTCAAAATTCATAAGCAACGAAACAAACATGTGGAGTCTTGCTTCGTCTTTTGTACGCAAAGGTATATATCGATGACTTTTATGAATGAAATGGTTGTAATTTATTCAGACTTATGCTTCACACGAAAGGCAAAAGGAAAGCATTTCCCAGGCCGCAAAGTCCCACTGTACCTTGCATTATGCAATAATACAGCTTTGAAGATTTAGTGCTCGACCAATATTTCACAGACAGCACTTATATTTAATTCACACAAAATCATTAAATATGACGTTGCTGTCATCAGAGGGTTTCATTCATAGCGTTAATAGTATATTTACTGCCACGGAAACCTCATAGGGAGATGAATGGAAAAGCGTAACCTTCTTAATGCAGTCTTATGAAAGATACAGCCAAACATCAGTTATTGAGGCATACACCATTTTGTGCGATAATATTTACCAAAGTAGGCAACTTTTTTTTGACAAAAGTCAATGGTCTTTAAGGTTTTAAAGTATCTTCAACATTTTGAACATGTTAGCTGCAATGTTATTTCGCCACGATAAATGTGTGAAATAAAATCCGGTTTTATAACGTCACATTATTGTATGCTTCAAATGGATGATTAAGTAATTCAGTTTATTTATTTATTTCACGGAAATCGGTCCGGTGGACTTGTGGTTACAGCGTCTGCCACTAATGCGAAGGGTGACGTAATCGAACCCCGGCCAAGTCATACCAAAGAGTGATGAAAATGGTAATTTTAGCTGCCTCGCCAAGGGGTCTGCATTAAGAGATTAGTGTTAGAACTGCTCGACCTAATGCGAGGATAATGGGACTTGGGTTGGACATGATGCTTCATGTCTGCGAACTGATGCCACAGTGCCAGACATCACTGTAATCAGCCACACTCCATGTATCGTAGAGATATTACTCAATGTTTTAAAAGCTACGTTAGATATCCAAAACACACACACACACACACACACACACACACACATATGTATTTGTTTCAAGGTGAATATTTGAGATAAATTAGGACCTGTTTACCGAAAAGAGGAGACTTGTCTAATAAATGAAGATATCTCTTAATTAATCAGAAGAGGTTCAGGGTTTCATACCGAAAAATTGCCCTCTTTTCCACTAATAAAGGAGAAAGGCGAAGTTCGTTTCTATTGAATCCATGATGGTAAAAATGACCGCAAAAGCCCGTTTGGATGGTAAATCTACTGCAAATGTCCTCTGATATTTTTCATCAAAAAACAGTTATGACTTCTTATTGAGCATATCTGAAATGATTATATTGACAGAGAACAAAGTTGATTACTTTTCGTAAGCTTGGTCCGTTGTAATTCGTTGTACTTTATTTTCACATCTAATGTCATCTTCTTTTCCAGTGAAGACTTAACGACTGAGAATTTCATTCGTACATCACGTGATGTATATAGCTCATTGCCCTCCAACGCGGTCACAGTGAGAAAAGTAACTAACAATACTCCCTGGTTGTCATTATGAATGGATAATTACTCCTAAAGAGGTGCAGATAAACATAGGTAGCGACAAGTATTCCATATATATTCGTTTATAAGTTGAGTAAAACTGCAAACAATAAAAGATCCTGACCTGATTAACAATGTTGTTTGTTGTACTGATTATTCCTAACAAACTACACAGAGCCAGATCTGTTGGCGCATGATGCGCTGGCAGATCTAGGTCTGTACAGTGTGTAATTGGCCTTTTCTTTTAAGCTAGTATATACGGTACATAAAAAGTAAGCAGCAGTTAAAGTTTTTCTCTCGCAATGAGGACAGTTCGCACGCAATGAGGACAGTTCGCACTGATCAACCTGTCTGAATTCTGGTCTTCAAATCTGAACTGAATGGAGTTTTTCTTTTAACATTTTTTATGAACCGTTTGCATTATTATCAATGAAAGAAGATAGACTCGAGATGAAGTTAAATCCAGGAGTGTAGTGTAAGTTTTCAGTAATTTGTTTTAGTTAAGAAATAAGACTACACTATATTTGTAACCTATTCATCAAATTTTTTTTTTATCTATGCGCCAGCCGTTTCCCAGTACATAAGGCTAACTGTTTATTGCAGTAACCTCAACTATGTTGCACTTTAGTGGTGTTGTAACTGCGGCTTTAACTGCTTCATATTTTTTTTCACTGATTTGTGTTTAAACTTCATCTTAAGTTTACACAGTTTGGCCGCACAAATTTTCGTTACGCCCTTTCTGCAGTGAAGAAATTGCCCGTTGGTGTTCTATGTTTTTCAGGTACACCATCAGTCGCAGTGCACTATTTGTTCTCGTCCTCGTCTATCATTTCATTATAGGAATTTGAGAAAATAATTTTTCACACTGAGTTTGCGTTCGATAAGAAAATCTCACCCTGATATTATTCCTTGCCAATGCATGTAAAGCCTCTTTTTGTTCCTAAAGTGTAACAGAATAACGGCAAACACCGTAAGAAACCAAGTCGGATCACAAAAGGCACTTCGTTGAAGATATTATAACTTAGAATCAGCCAATCAAATAATAACTAAGGATCATCAAATCAAATAATAACTAAGAATCAGCCAATCAAATAATAACTAAGAATCATCCAATCAAATTATAACTAAGAATCATCCAATCAAACATAATTAGCCCAATTCCTTTACTATCTCCTTTTGCACGAGTAATGTCAGAAAAGCGCAAAACAAACTCATACACGGCATATGTTAGCATCGATAGTAAAAGAAATAAAAGGAATTTTTTTCAGTTAACTGAAGTTGTGATTTAATCAGTTTCATTCCTTAGAGATCCTTTTAATTTCAATGATATACACAGCCCTTACATGTCGTTGCTTTGTTTTTGGCGAGATGTGAATTATGAAATATCTTAGAGCAAATTATATATTTAACGAGAAAAACGTTTTGGAAATGTCGCATAATGGCTGAAGTTGGGAGAAGAACACCTGGCCTATCCAATCAGTCCCCTCTACGATTAGACTAAGAATATTTTACAGTAAGATTTTGAGTCGACTAAATGTTTATGATAGATGAGCCAAGGACTGGATTCTTATATAACCGTAATTAACAGAATGAATCGTTCAACGGTTGATATACATTACCTACGAATGCTGGTATTTTCACTTAGTTTTTACGGTGTTTCTTATGGGGAAAAATATGAGATACATAATGCATGTGTTTATTGTTTGTTCTTGAAAATGATAACGCGTATTTATGACATAATTGAAGCACGTCTTTTACCAGGATTCTCCGTTCAGTAAATAGATATTTTATCTCGGCTTTTTGTGTATCAGAAACTGTTCATTTCAAGGACGAAGTGCATGCAGTCTTTGGTATGGGATTGGTGGTGATTGACCAATGTGTACTTTTCTTTTATCTTTACAAGGAAACAGTTACCATTTCTTTTGTCGCATCTCAGTTGATAAAGGTGTAGACAGCGGTGTAAGGTAAAACCTCTGTTGACACTTTAATCAATTTAATGATAAAATATTCATGGTAGCACTATATTGGGTTACATATGACATAATCTAGGAGCCCAATAAATTATTTACGTCGGCATATTCTCCAAAGCTTTTAATTCTGGACGGCTGTCAATTCCGGACATTTTACATTAGAAAAATTCATTATAATATTTTTATGTGAAATTTGGTTCAAGTATAATTCTAGTATCATTTTGCTGGAGTTAAAATTCATAAATTATAAAATTCATTGTAATATTTTTATCTGATATTTGGTTCAAGGTATAATTCTATTTTGCTGGAGTTAATATTCATACATCATAAAATTCATTGTAATATTTTATGCGACATTTCGTTTAAGGTATAATTCTTGTATCATTTTGCTGGAGTTAATATTCATACATTATAAAATTCATTGTAGTATATTTATGTGACATTTCGTTTAAGGTATAATTCTTGTATCATTTTGCTGGAGATACTATTCATACTTTCTAGTGATAAGATGGAGGACCTGACATTTTGTAAAATGTACTTAATAACTTGTTAATCCGATATGCAGGATATATACCTTGCTGCCCTCCTGACGTCATATTACCTAATGTCAGCCTTGTTACCCTACTGTTGTCATCTTGCCTGACCCCATCTTTGTCTTATAGGTAGATATTTTAATTGTCAATAACGTAATAGTGACTAAGGCGTGACTAGCGTGACTAGGGTCTTATATATATATATATATATATATATATATATATATATATATATTTATATATATATATATATATATATATATATATATATATATATATATATGCTAATGTGTTTTGACAATTACTAAGAATAATCTTTGTAATAAGACTTGTAGATGACTTTGTGTTAATTTCTCCTCGGTTTGTGGGATTTGGACGGTTCTTGAAGAATTAAGTAAAATTCCATTGCTTGGGATAGGTTAAATATATAGTATGATTATTGGGTAGTATGATATGTTACTTTGGGGTTTATTATGAAATATATTCGCAATAAGAAGTGCATACTAGGAAAGAACTGAACAACAAAATTGAATTCCTATTTTGAAGTCATTGTTATTTATTGTGTTCCTGTTGTAATATCAAGTCAGCAGACGTTCTTTATGTTGTACTTGGATATTATTTGAAGAGATACGA